ACTGGGTATGGATTCTTGTCTCTCTTTCTTCCCTGTCCGCTTCTTTAACCTGCTCTCAACTCATCTCCCCTTACCTTCTGGCTTTGGATACTGAGATGAAGGGCCCAGGGCTGAAGGGATGTATGATGAGATAGCACATGTGGAGGGAAAGGAGCTTGAGAATATGGGGCTGAGGGGGGATTGGTGTTCAGTGAGTGGGGATGAGGGAAAAGAGGCAAAAGCAGGTGATCAAAGTGGGGATGGGGATCCTGAGTACATAGGACATATGGGAAAGCAAGGGATGAGCGCTGAATTAGGGATGAGAAGACCAAGAATGTAATATTAGAGACCAAGGAAGAGAGCAGGCTGATTGGTGAATGGGGGAAGTTATGAAGTAGCAGCTGTGGAGGGGCGAGGGGGCAGGAAAGATGTGCAGCTGGGTGGGTAACCCGGCATCTCAGTGAGGCTCCTTCAGTGACACCACTCTGTTTGCCTTGTTCCCAGGATGCCTGGCATGCTGCAGAAATCTGCCTCTGCACCCCCCCCTGCTGTCCTCCGTGCTTCTCTGAAGAAGGACACCAGCCCATTATCCTCAGAAAAGGGGCTGCGGGGCATGTACACCACCCCCAGGCAGGTGCCACCAAGGAGCAGTGCCCCGAGACACAGCCTGCCCCACGGCAGCCCCTCCCAGACCAGCTCCCCTCCTCAGTGGACAGACAGTATCACCAGCGAGATGGCACCAGATGCAGACAGTAGTGAGTAGAAGACACCTCGGGTTTGGACCACCCACCAAAGGAGGCACATCCGCGACCTCTCTGGGAACAGAGTTCACTTCCTTTCTCTCCGCAGTGAGAAGGGAAGGGGTGACTTGTGGGTGCTGACACTGGGGCTGATCTGAATGATACCAGCACTAATAACAGCAGCAATAATAATAACAATAATTGTTAATAATAATACTTTTATAGAAATGCTTGATTTCTCTCCACAGATGTTTTTATTCTTTCCTTTTTCCTATAAAAACAGTTTTACAACTGCTTTGAGTTAAAAATACATTTCTAAAGAGGTGAACATTTCAGCATTTTTACCATTTCACTGAAAACCTGAAAAGGATGGGCCAAACTTTGGCTTTGCCACTCAGGTTTTCAGTTCTGAGGAAAAAAGTTAGTGGGTTGGGAAGATTTTGGCCACCTCTCATCAGTATTCAGCTGGTGGTTTTCAAGCTGTTTGGCGGCCTCTGCGAAATAAGCTTGGGGCTGGGGCAGGAGGACTCATGGGCCGATGTCTGCAATGGCACCACTTGGACTTTTGTGCTAAGCAAGACCCAGGCCCTAGTAGCACGTGGGGTTTGAAGTCATCTGCTGTCCCAGAGGGGTCCCTCCAGGGTGGGGCTGAGCACCCCAGCAGGGCAGCGTGGGGGAAGTTGCCTGGGCCATAGGTGAAAATGGCTCTGTTGCCAGGGAAATGCAGCTTCAGAGAGGCACCCCAAAACCAGCGTCATTTAAAGTAGTCCACTGTCTTCTTCTTTCACCAGCTCACACAGACTCTGAAGCTGAGGGACAAAGTGGGGCCAGCACCTACAATCACCATCCCAGCAAAACAAGGCATCCACCCAGCTCCACCACCCTGTCTCCTTCCCCAGTCCGGGCTCACCATGACCTCCTGGACTCACGCAGGGAACGAGAGTAAGTTACCCCTCCTGGAGTGGGCTAAGCATTGCAAGAGGATCCAAGTCCACTTCTGGCCAGTGAACGTGGTATCTCAGTACAGGCAGTCCTCGGACTTCGGACACAATTGGTTCCTGAAAACCGTGTAACTCGGAACCAATTTTCTCATACAAAACAGTGTTATAAATGGGGGATTGGTTCCTGAACAAAGGCCCGATACCCTAGTTTCACTAAAATTACCCCAGAATTTTTTACTCGGTCAATTATAGATAAGTAATATAGCTACAGTAATGTATTTATATTGTAAATAGCAATCATATCGATTTGGAAGGGCTTTTTGGAGGTGACTGCTGGACTTTTTGAAAGGCTCTTGGTTGGACTTTTTGAAGGGTTCTTGGCTGGAGTCTTCTCAGGAGTCCTGGCTGCAGGTTTTTCTGAAGTCTTGTCTGCTTTTTTAAAGAAAGTGTCCAAGGAAGTTTGGACAGATGTTCTCCAGGGAGATGGGCAATGCAGCGAACTTCTCCGCTGGTGTGGCATCGCATTGGATCAAGCGTTGTAAAGTCAAAACTGATGTCATAAAGTTGAAACAGGCAGTCAATTTATAAACGTAACTCGAAGCGTTGTAAGTCGAGGACTGCCTGTACTGAGAACCGGCACTGTTTCCCCTCTCTACCGCCGTCATGATGTGGAGAGACAGTCATACCCTGGACTCTGTGTCAGATGTGCCATCACCAAGCCGGTCCCAGAGGCAGTCTCCGGGGCAGTGGTTTCTTTGAAGGAAAGTGCTGAGTTCTTCCCCTGAGTGTCATTAGTTCACAGTGAGCCAGGCAGCCCCGCTGGGTGTAGGAGAAGGGGGGTTATTTACCTGAGCAGAGGAGGCCTGAGGTGGAGCCATCCTGCCTGTTTTACGCCCTCTCCTTGCACAATAACAGCAAACATTTCTGGGAGCGTTGCTAAGACGCTGCCTCTTGGACACAGCTGTGGCAGTGGCAGTGCTGGGGCTGGGGAGAAGACATGCTGTTCTCTTTGCTCTTTGGCAAGACCTAAGCGCTTGACCTCTCCCAGTGACCCCAGTCGGGCAGAGATCCCATTTCTCCAGTTGTCACCCAGCTCTTTGAGACTTGAGGACTGGTTAATGCTGGCCTATCCTTGGATGGAGGAATGCTTTCAGCCCACGCTGCTAGAGAAAGGCTGGTTCCTTGCTTCTCTGAGTCGGGAAGTGCCAAAAGGCCTGGCCACATCCTGTACAGTAGATCTCTCCCAGGAGGTAAATCCAGAAACCACCCCCTGTGCCTCACAGAGGGGACAGGTCTCAAATCCACTGGAGGACTGAGGCAGCCTCACGAATAATAGGATGCCAGTGGAGCCAGGCAGAGGGAAGAAGGAAGCAGAGAGAATTGATATCACAGTGCTGTTTCCAGCTTTCTCCCTCACATGCATATTAGTCGGCCCCAATGTAGAGGGGTGCAGGCTCTATCCTGCAAATGGACAGCCCCACAGGCAAGACTTGGACCTGCTCATTTTGCTGGTGACTTCAGATGGATATGAGGACAGTCCTGACTGAAGGGGGTAGATAAGTACTGGCCTTTTGGCAGAAGGCTTTTCAGTGACTCAGCTGTGCCTTTGAACTTGGCCAGGGCCAGATTGGGACCTGCTGGGCAAATCAGGGACAGAGTTGGCATTGCAGCTCTTGTGAGTGGGAGTAACCTTAAGGAGCAGGATCCGGGAGCATCACATACACGGTTCTCGGTTATAAGGCACAGCTAAATCAATGCTGGTCGAGCAGGCTCTGAATGTTCACTGCTATGAGGATGTGATGGACTCATGGGGAAAGAGGGTCGGGACGCAGTGCTCTGGGCAGCAGAGTTGTCGGCTCTGGCGGTTGCCAGGACTGAAAGCCTTGATTTTGATGCACTTGTCTGATGTGGCCAGCAGCATAGAACCAAGGAGCTAGACTCTGAGCAAACTGTTCTGCCCACCTCTATCCTTCACTAGCCCCTCAGCTTACCAAGCGGCTGCCTCACACCAGCCACATACACAAATGGTTAACTCTCCTGCAGCCTACACAGGCATGGAGGGAAAGAGCTAGTTCTGCAAGAGCCACACAGCCTGTGTCTGATCGTGCAGCTCAATTGGAACCAGACTCAGCAGCGCCCGGCTTGGGGAGAGGGAGGGCTCAGGCCCTCTGAGGTTGCCTAAGCCTTGTAGAGTGTTTCTGTGGGCTCCGCAGAACAGTTTTCATTTTTCTTTGTCATTTTAAACCTATGAGGCTGAATCCTCAACTGATGTAAATCAGCCTGGCTGCACTGATGCAATCCAGCATCGCCAGCTAAATATCTGACCCCTACTCTGTGGTTTCCTCAGGTCATATATTTTTCTTGCTAAAAGGCAACAGCATGAGCTGTGTATTGCCAAGTACACAATCACGCCCCAAAAATGAGCTGGCAGAAGCAGGTGTCTGTGTCCCATAATGAACGGAAGAGTGTATGTACCTCACTGTCTTTGCCTGGGGGGAATTCATGCTGCTCAGCTGTGCATCATAGATCCTGTAATGGTGACAGTGATTCTCCTTTAGCTCAGCTGGCAGGCCCTTGTAGTTTTAGCAGCAGGGGAAATCTGCATGGGGTTGTTATGTGCAGCTGATGATCCCTAAGAATGTCCCTAAGTAGCCACTGATTTCAGTAAACCTTTCACTCAAGATATTTGAGTGGGCTTGAATGACAGCCAGTGCAGTTGGCCCTTCCTGAGTTTTTGTTGTTTGCATCCCATTCTCCGGTGCCGCAGACTTCTGGGATGCAGCCAGGACTGGAAAAGAAAGGGGAAAGGGTAGCTCTCCGTAGTGCCATGTGGAGCAGTCTTGTTTCTAAAAGAAGTCATGCCCAGCTTTGCAGAACCAAGAGGCCGGCATGTTTGGTGAAGGGTTGGAGAATCCCCCGGCCTTTTCAGTGTTCATTCAGCCACAACCTTTGGCTGTTTTGAGGTTCCCCCATCACCACTCACAGGGAACAGCCCAGGCCAAGAACAATTAAAAGGGGCCAATGATTTCGTGCACTCTGTTTGAGATACCTTAAAGGGGCCAGACTTCCCTGAAGGGGAGAGCTGAATGCCTAAAGACATTTTGAGACTCAATGTTCAGCTGCAATTCCTTAAGGACCAAGGGGCCCCTTCTCACTCCTTTGACAATGAAGAGAGAGATACTCAAAAAAGGGAGGCACTTAATCCTCTGAAGACCTGAGAATATAGTCACGTGCTAGTCCAAGATTACATTTGTCTGCCAGCCTGGAAAATGCCAGCATTGTCAGGGTTAATGCATGCATGTTTTCCCTCCCAGATGGTAGGCTATCCAGCAGACAAACGCAGCAGTTTAAACATTCTTGGTTGTCTTGCACATTTACTAAGAGGAATAAGGCCTGGATTTATAGACTCACATATCAGGTTCCCTGTAGGCGCAGGAAGAGCACTAAATAAACTCCAGAGCTTCAGAGAAAGCTGGTCAGCCCTTGTGGCTGAAATCTTTGCAACCATTCAGAACGGCTGAGTGTAAAACCTACATCTCAGAGAGCCTCCTGCCATCACCCAGAGGCCACTCTGAAGGGAAATGGACTCTGCACCACTGTCTCCCTTGTGCAATGCATCCTCAAAGTAGCTTCAGTTGGTGGCTTCTTGTGATTCTTGAGTGGCTAAGTCATGTTGAGCAGTGCTGTTGTCTCTGAAGCTCAGCTGACCTCTGGGTGACAGGCAGCCTTGCACAGCAGAGCTGGGACTGTCTCTGTGACTTCAGATAGGGGAAAACATGGGATCTTCCCCCTGTTCTTCTCAATCCAACATTATTCTTGAGCTCTAGGGAAACTGATTCTTTATTCTCCTTTCCCACTTCAGCCAGGCCATCCGGGCTCTGCAGAAAGAGGTTTTGCGGCTTCGGCAGAGGCTGGAGGAGAGTTTGCATCGACCTCAAGGCTACCCAACAGGAAAGGCATCTCCACACACTGCAAAGACCAAAAGGAAGCCTTTGGAGAATGGTTCCTCAGCCAGCAGCCCAGCAACCATCAGGTAAGCGACTGTGTGTGCAGTTAAATGCACCCAAATCAGATGGGCCATGTACTGGAAGATCATTCTGTGCCTGTCCCTTTCCCAGAAAACCTGCAGAGAGGAGCCCAGGTGAATGTGGGGAGCCAGCCCCAGTGATCCAGCCAGCGAGGTGGGCAAGGTCAGCATCACTCCCGCGGGATGGGCCTGAGCTGGATCTCAGTAAGTAGACCTTTCAGGGCCTGCCCCCTTTGCGGTCACCCTGGCTTCCCTCAGTGCTTCTGAGAAGCACTGGGGCAACAGGACTTTTATTTTCCCTCCACTCCTCTTCAATTTACCCTTCCTAAAAGGGAGAACTGGATGTTTGCATGAGCACTTGCTATGCATGTGGGTGGTGAGCACTCATGTGCAGGCAGCCCATCTACCAGGGCACTCTCTGCCAATTGTGCAGATGGGCTCACATCCAGATCCAGTCCTCCTGACCCATGAGAAAGCTGCTGTCATCGACCCAACCTGGTCCTGGATCTGACTCTGATGCCTGTGCCTTGTTCTCTTGATCCTACATGCATCACTGGAATTGGTGGCAGTCAGCCCTATCCTGTCCCCTAATAGCATGTGTACTGATGCTTGCTGAGAAAATCAGAGTATGCATCCCACAGTACCTACAGGACACACAGAGCAGTGCCCTGGCTGTCTAATCCAGTGCTCTCTCTTCTCCACATGGTGCAGCTTCAGAATCAGACTACTCCCCACCAAGACTTCTGGATGGGAGATCCAGGGCAGTGTTTTCCTCCAAGAAGATCCCAAATGCAGCAACATTCAAAGGCCATTACACAGGTAAGCACACAGCAAGTCCAATGAGGTTTTGGTGTGGCCTCTCTGGTAACTACCCAGATCCGGCTGCTGTCCTAAGTGGCTTTCCCTTCCTATGCCCAAATGGGACACTTGACATTGTACTTCCCCAACAAAAGACTTACCCATTCCTCTCCCTCCTGATCTGAACCCCGTAGCTCCGTCTTGAACTACAGCATGAAACCTGACCCTTCCCTTTCTTTTCATTACCCCACCCCAAGCCACACACTCTGAGAGGAGCACTGAGAAAGCTTTTGTTGGGTTTTGCAGGGGCAAAGTACCACTTATCGACTCCCGCGTCCCTAGAACCGAAGGAAGACACTGGCTCGCCTTCTTGCATCCATTGCCACAGCCCCAGGACACAATCTGGTAAATACACCGTGTGCTCATCCTCAGTCTCTGCCCCAGAAATGGCCTGTTCCAGGTCTTCGCTTAGTGTTTGGGGCTTGTGAAATAAAAGGCTAACAACATGCAAAATCTGCTTTTCTATGAGATCTCTAAGGGCTTCACAAATACTAGCTAATGAAGTTGTTATTAATTACCTAAGACATGAAATAATTGAATAACTAAGCCTGCAAACACACTGATTAGAGACAGAGAGTGAGAGACCACTCCTCACTGAAATGCATACCCTTTCTGAGTAGAGTGACTGGAAAGGTCAGTGCTCATGCAGCTCACCTGGGGGTTGGAGGTGCCTCCAGTATACTCCATCTCTGGCCAGAGTGGAAACAGGCTCCATCTGTGCAGTAACAAGGTTAGTCAGTAGCTACTCGACAGTGGGACCTCATCTAGGGTTTATAGAAGTAGGTTAGAGCCTGAGTACTATTGGGACTTTATTCCTATAGCAAAAACACATATGGTACCTTCTGTTCTGACACTGGGAATTCATACTGCCTGCATTTCGTGTTCTCTCCTGTGCTGCATGTGCATCTTTGGCAGTCATTCATTATTATTGTTTACTACATAATATAGACTAGAGGACATGGGGTGTTGTGAAAGCAACTGCAACCTTTCTGGGGGTGGGATTGACTTTTGGGTGCAATCTTGAAGCCATCCTGTGGTGCTAAAGCCGTTGTTTGCACTTGTTATCATGAGCAAGCCCTGTGTTACAGCTTGCTGCATGCCTCTCCTTCCTTTGTGCTAGCAAGAGACATTACACAAAAAACGTCCAGCTTGTTGGGCAAGTAGGAACCTGTATCAAGCCATTCAACTTGGCCAAAGATTAACTCACACCTGTTTTTTCCAGTCAAAATCACATACCACCTTACATGGCTTGAATACTTACCTTCCCAGGGTGTTTCTAAGGAGCACAGGGGGGAAAGGGAGTAAGGGAGGTTTACCTGTATTGTGTCCAGTAACTCCCAGCTGAACTCTAAATATGCATCTTGTAATTTGAATATCACTGGCCGCGATGCCTTGCAATCAGCTTTTGCTCTCTGTGAGCCACCCAATCTAGTTTAAGAACAAAGTTGCTACTTTCAAAGGGCCCGATGAGTCCAGCATATTCCTGCTGCCCTGCACACTGCAGATCTTGGCAGGGTTGTTTTACCAGCACCTTGTTCTCTGTGTATAGGCATTGCATCAGCAGGGGACATCTTGAGATCCTCTCAGCATAGCACTCCAAAGAAGATGCACTGTCCACCCTGCAGTGGGACCAAAAGCACTCCAACTTCTAAAACTAGGGGCAAAGCAGGGAATGGTGAGTAACTAGTGTGATCCATTTAAGGTCCCTGTTTATTAAAGAGTAGCCATGCCTGGGAGTCCCCTGGTAAGTAGTTCCCATAGGAGAGAGACAAACTGGCCAAAGCCACACTGAGAAACAGTTCATACCTATGCTGTTCCCAGCGGTCATCACTGTAGGGAATGTTACTGGAGCACTGGCTGCAGGGGACTTGACGGCCCCTTGAGTCCAAGTTCCTGCCAGCAGGAGTCATGGACAGGAAAGATGTAGGACTGCTGACTCTGAGAACTTCCCAGCTACCCCTGTCTCACCTCTCTGAGCAGGAGTGGCTGTAAGTAGTAGTGGGGGAGCCACAGCTATGAACCTTCCCCCGAGTGGCAGAACTTAGTGGCCTTTCCCTAAGCGCTGGGTCATGGTCTGAGTTAACTTATACCTACTACACTTGCAGGCCTCAATACAGGGTCTCCAGCCCAGTGCATGCAGGCCTGATTCATCACAGAGAGATTATATTAACATGTTCATGTAGGCAGGTGACATCCTCTTCCTCTATCCTTGGGCTACAATCAGCTCTGCTGTGAGAGCCCCTGACAGCAGTGGAGTAGCACCAGAAACAGTTAGTCCCTTTGGCTTCCTCCCCATATGGCAGAAATCACAGGGTGGCTCTTACCTGGTCTCATTCTTCTCCACAGTAGCAGACCATGGCACAGAGAGTGCTTCTTCCCAGCACTTTGGCCCCAGTCGCAAAGCCAAGAATTGGCAACAGCAGCTGCAGCCGCCTGGACTTTGGTACCTGCCGACCCCACCTTCTGCCACAGCTGTCAACTACGTTCCAGCAGTTCCTCTGGTGCACTATGCACCACCCCTCGTGTAAGAGCTGCCCCTTCTCTTCTCCTGGCATCGCTGTGGGGAGGGGATATGAAGCTTTTCCTTCTGTAACTGTGGGAGGCAACCTAGAAGCCAGAACCAGGAGGGTTGGCCCAGTGGTTAGGGTACCAGCTTGAGCATGGGAGAATGATTTGAGTTCCCTGTTTGGTGTTCTCACCTCGGGGGAGTCACTGTCTCCTTGTGCTTAACTCCCCCTCTGTAAGACCAGTGCTTCTGCTTCTCAAGGGATGTTGTAATGCATTAAAAAATTGTGGCACATGTTTGCTATAGTAATAGTGGCTGTATATGTCCCTCAGATAGAATGAGAACCCAAACTCCCTGTCCTTGGCAGGACTTTACGTAGACATGTCCTTGGGCCTCTAATCCATGAGAGTGAGGGCCCTTCCTGCATAAGCATTGCGCGAGGTCAGCTCATAGAACACCTTGCACTGTGGCCAAAATATGGGCTGCCTTCTGCCAGGAGACCACGTGACAGCTGGCAGCTGCAGTGTGTAGGTCATGGATCTGTGTGTGGGCATAAAACATTGTCCACACTAGATAGACGCTGATGCGTGTGAGGAAGCATGCAGATCTCTCCTGCAAAGCAACAAAAGGAACGTTCTAATTATTTGTACTCCTATAGCATCTAGAAGACCCCATGGAGGTCAGGGTCTCAGTGTGTCAGGCACTGTACAAATACATGGACAAAACAGCCCCAGCTTCAAGAAGCAAAAGTCTACATAGACAGGACCCAGAAGGGGGAAGAGAAGGGAGAAAAGATATAAACAGAAAGTGAGAAACGCAGCAACTTCCCCAAAGTCACACAGGGAGCCTGGGTCAAAGGCAAGTGTTGAATCTGAATCCTAGTCCACTGCCTTAACCACAAGACTAACTTTCTTCCCCAGCTTCCAGTGCCTTAGTAATGAATGGAGATTTTGCACTTCCTTTGGCGGGAGAGCCTGTGAGAGTCCTATGGTCATGAATGTGTGTCTCAATGTTAGCGCACAGGCACACAGCACCAGGGATTCAGTCTGGCAGGTGCCTGCCAGCAGCTTTGCCAAACCTCCCATGCCCTGTACAGGGATAGAATTACTAGGAACAGGTCAGAGTGGCTGAAACATCAGGACGTGCTGCCCAGGCTGATGCATAAGAAAATACACATCTCTACAATGTGCCAGCTTGGAAACACCATGTTTTGTCTTTGCTTTTTCCAGCTACTGTTCTCCAGCAGCATCTACCTCAGTCCCCACCCCGGCTGGCCTTCCTCTCCATTACCCCAGTGGGTACAGGGTGCCAGAGCTGAAGCCCTGGACTGACTGGCAGCAGGCCCATAGGCACCACCGCTCCTTGACACTTGATCTTGACGACCTTGAGGACCTCAACTGGTCTTTGAACAAAGCCGTGGAGGCTGCCAAGAGTGTGAAGCTCACCACCAAGCAGATGAGCAGGTCGCTGACCTCTGACCTGAGCAAGGCCAAGGGCCTGAGGGGATCCTGCCTTTTCTGACGGGACCTGGGAGTTGGCTTCTTTGGCACGTGGAGGAAGCAGTCTGAGGCAGCAGACCAGGCCTGGTAAAACATCTGGAGATGAGCCCCCAAGAACTATCTTGGGAACTGATTTGCCAAAGAATAACATGCCTCTTCTTCAGCTTCCAATGCCCCATTATGGCATTGGGTGTGTGGGAGGAGGGCCCTCCACTTCACTTCCTGAGGACCCCGTGCTTGGAGCCTCCTTGCTGCACCTCCAGAAGCTGTGTCTGAAGCCCTGTCTACACAGTCATCTCTTCCCATCTCTGAAACCATTCTCCCATATAAAACTTGCCTTAATTACCAACCTTCTGATCGCTCTGGGCTACAGGAGGCTCCAGGGTGGCAGAGGGGGTGCCCATTGCACTGAAGGAGCAGCTAGGGTTCAGTCCAAGTCCTCTGTACTTGGTCAGTAACTTTTAGTTTCTGTGGATTTTTTTTTAAAGGATTATTTGAGATGAAGGCAAGTGGTGACACTCCTTGGGTACTAGACTAGGAGCCTTCCCAGCTTCCCAAGGGGCTAAGACCCGCACTTTAGAACTCCCCGGTTTTGTCTCGAGAGAACCTCCTCCTATTTTCTGTAACATTTTACCACCTATCCTCCTTAAGAAGGGGGCTTCTCATTGCCTAGCTTGGCTACTGGTATTAGACCATGACTTTCTCATTGCACTGTGAGATTCCCACCCATGAGCCCCTGCATCATTCCCACCTAGGCCTTAACCCATCATGTTGCTCAATCTGTCCACTTCCGCGTGAAGATATCCCAATATACAGCATGTGACAGGGCTGCTGAGAGCAGCCCAGGTGGTCCAAACCCTGTTTACAAGCCAAGCTTTTCCTAGAGCAGGTGTTATTTTGTGCAGGCCCTATTGCAATAAGGGCTGAAGGCCTGTTTGCAGCAAAGTTTACCTCGGAGAGTGCTTGTGATGTCTTAGAGGTCCACATATATATATGCATTAATATATATATATATATATATA